TTTGCCATATCCCTCATCCTTGTGTGTGTGTGTGTGTGTGTGTGTGTGTGTGTGTGTGTGTGTGTGTGTGTGTGTTTTAAAAGGATCTCACATGCCAGGCGGTGGTGGCGCACAACTTTAATCCTAGCACTCGGGAGGCAGAGTCAGGCAGATCTCTGTGAGTTCAAGGCCAACCTGGTCTCCAAAGCGAGTTCCAGGAAAGGCACAAAGCTACACAGAGAAAACCTGTCTCTAAAAACCAAAAAAAAAACAAACAAACAAACGGGGGTTGGGGGGTGTGTCTCACTAAACTACTCAGGCAGGCCTTGAACTTGAGATCCTGGGCCTGTAAGATGTTTCACTGGTAGAAAACCCAGTATGGCAACCAGCAAGCTGTCGTCTGTCTTCCATGCATTCACCATGGAAGATATGTATTTGTGTGCACACGAGATGTAATGACAAAAAAAAAAGCTAGGCATAGTACATGCCTATATTCTCAGTACTTGGGAAACAAGGCAGGTAGGCTAGCAGATCTCTTGAGTTGAAAGTCAGTTCCAGAGTTACCCTGTCTCCAAAAAAAAAAAAAAGAGAGAGGGAGAATGTAATGAATTTAAGATTCTTTTGCCTCAGCCTCTCAAGTGGCTGGATTACAGGCATGAATCACCAAGCTTAAAACATTTATCCCCTGCCACCACACTGGGAACTAAGTCTAGGACCTTGCATATGCCCAGCTCTTGCCTATTCATATTTTGATCATCCTTTGATCTCAGAAACAAACTCAGATACTGGACAATAATTAAATAGCACCCAAATCTATTCTATAAGCAAATTCAGATGTATTTAGTTGTCCTTGTTCTCTATGTTGTAGCATTGTTTAGAACAGTGACTTATAATATAGAACATGACTCACTGAGTCCAGTTCCTACTAATCTTTCTTACCCAGCTCATGTGTAAGATGAGAGAAATAATGTTCTGAGTAGCAGCCCACAGCTGTTAATACTAGAGTTAAGTCTACTTGCCCATGTAATATTTACTGTGTAACCACCAGGCACAGAATGCAATTTCATCAGCTGAATGACTTTCCTTGATTTCATAAAAAATGAGAAGAGGGGTAAAGATGTGGCTCAGTGGTTAAGGGCACTTCTTATTCTTCTAAAAGACCTGAGTTCTGTTCCCAGCACCCACATGAGGCAACTCACAACTGCCTGTAACCCTAACTCCAGGGAAGATCTGAAGCCTCTGACCTTTGACAGCACCTGCACTCATTTGCAGATAAACACAATTAAAAACAAAGTCATTCTTCTAAAGACTGAGCCAGGTGGTACTCACCTACAGTCCCAACTACTTGAGAGGCTGAAAGGGGATCACCTGACCCCAAGTTCAGGACAAGCCTGGACAATACAATGAAACTCCATCTCAAAAAAATAACTAACCCCAAGTTAGAAGTGTGGTTCATTAGTAAAGTACTTGCCCTAGAATGGTTAAGGGCCCCAGGTCTAATTCTCAGCACCACCAAAAAAAAAAAAAGTTTCTTTTCATGTCATTAAAATAACCCCTACAGGACCCGTTCATAGGCTATTGACAAATTGCTTAAATCCTACGTAAAACTAAAAGTAATTACCGAGATGAGCACTGAGCCAGATAGTGGCATACACACACAACACAGAGAAGCAGAAATGTCACAAGTGCCAGTCCAGCTTCAAATACATCTCACAATCCCATGGCAACAAAGTAGGTATAAATGTAATGTCAGTCACTCTCTACCTTTGTGTTTTGGGACATGGTCTTAAAAAGCCACAAGTTCCTGATTAGGCTGAGTGGCCAATGAGTTGTGGGGATCTGCCTGTCTCAGCACAACCCCCAATGCTGGGGTTACAGGATCATGCCACCACTTTGGGGCTTTTTATTGTTCTTGGCTGGTGGTGTTTTATTTTATTTTTAGAGACGGTCTCTCTGGGTAGCTTTGGCTGTCCTCGAACTTCCCCAGTAAACCAGGCTGGCCTAGACTCGTGGAGATCCACCTGCCTCTGCCTCTCAACTGTTGGGATTAAAGGTGTGTGCCACCACCACTCAGTCACCCCTGGCTTCTTGGGGGGTGTACAGTACTAGAGTTCCAAACTCAGATTCCTTGTGCTTTTGAGGCAGGTATTTACTAAGCCATCTCTCCAGCTCTGACCCATCATTTCTATGATCTATAATTCCATCTCTAGAACCTAAATTTTTACTCCAGTAGCCTATGAATGGGGTTGGTAACTTAAAAGACCCCAGTAGGAGCTAGTCTTTTGGTATTCATGAGCTAGCCTACGGAGTTGGGAAGGGTGACGAAATTGCAGCTCTCAAGTGCTGTTAGTGCAGGGATCTGAGTTTGAAAACAAACTGGGCTACACAGGAAGACCGTATCTGAAAAAATCAAGTTGACAAGCTATCCTAGAAGCACACGTAGTTGGATCTTTTGCAGAGGATCCAAATGTACTCTATATTGCCAAGAGCTGGTCAGGTGACTAAGACTAGCATACCACCTAGAGTCTGTTCTTTAGGATGGGTGAAAGGCTTTGTGGAAAAGGGCACTTGAATTCGATTCCTCCATGATGGAAGTAGAATTGTCATCTGATCTCAAGCACTGTGGCAAGAGAGTGCCCAGACACACACACACACACACACACACACACACACACACACACACACAGTAAGTGTAATAAAAATAGAGCCTGTGTTTGAACATTAGGTACTTCTTTATATTGATTGCTCATACACTTTCATGAAGTCCAAACATAGAAACTGACAACAAAATAAAATATATAATGCATTTGATCTGAGGTTAAAAAAAAAAAACAGGGGTTGGGGATTTAGCTCAGTGGTAGAGCGCTTGCCTAGCAAGTGCAAGGCCCTGGGTTCAGTCCTCAGCTCAAAAAAAAAAAAGAAAAGAAAAAAAAACAGCATAACAAAACACTTTATTTCAGTAAATAAGCCCAGAATGTCTGAAAATGCACATCAGTTGGTTAGGGCAATAAGAGCCTCCACAACATTGCCCATGTGTTCACGCAAGCTCCTTTCTGCTGCTGCTCGAGAGATCTCCATCTCTGTCATCTGCAAGAAAAAGGTAAATCATGTCACTGAAGCCTCCCCTCAGGCATTTATGTGTCAACTAATTTCTGGCTCCACTTGTTAGGAACCCAAATTAGGTAGGGCTTCTCTTGAGCATCCATGAAAGCATCACTACTCACTATCAACTCCAGATCTTCCTTCTTGATCGTGACCTTCGCCAGTTCCTTCTCCCTGTAAATATATACGTGTGTGTGTGTATATATATATATATACACACATCTGTCTTCATCCTCTACTGCCAGAAGGAACACTACCAACTACACACTGCAAATGGGTGGAACAGGCTTGACTGGAAATAGCAAGTAAACGTGCCCAATCCTCCCCGTGGAGGCTTTACAGTAAGGTATCCAGGCTTTCCTTCCTCTAAAAACTGGCTAATAACAAAGTTGTAAACCCTAGATCTGCGGGAATTGGTTAAAAACTTTTTCCTGGAAAATGAGGACCCGCAGCGCTGGCGGTGTGCTTTAAACTTACCGCTCCTGTTTTGCCTTTTGCTCCCTGGACCGTCTGTCACCAATGACGGACATAGCCTGTAGGAAACACGAATCTAGTTACTTACCACCGTGCGATCAAAAATTTCATATCTAAAACATTACCAAAAATAAAAACCACGTGGTTCTTCAAGTATTCACAATGACGAGTGCTCTCGGGACCAAAGGACTACGCTTAATTCTGTGCACTTGAGATGCATTTGGGCCCAATCTCCATCAAATTCTTAAGCAAACCGCAGTCTGGGTGAGTGTTGTCGCTTATCCCCACCCTACTGCCTACTCCCACGATCGCGATCTGCCCTCCCGGAGCCTCTGATAGGCAACAAACGGGTCAGCCTCAACTCACCCCTACCCCATACTCAAGCCCTCATACAAGTTCCCAGTCAACCTCACCGTCTCCAGATTCGAACTCTGGATCTCCTTCTCCTCCGCATAGTCAGTGACCCGCTCCAGGTCAGCAGCACCACTGTCATGCTTCCGTGGCTTCTCGGGAGGCCGCTCGGGGCCGCTGGTCTCGGTCTCTAACTCCAGCTCCACATCTCCCTCGGTCGCCATTTCGATCTCACCGCGCCGCCGCATAGGCTGCGCTTCACAACTTCCGGCAAACCTCAGCTTCCGCCCAGATATGGGGCGGGGCAGGCTCTGGACCACACCTTTGTGCCTGTCTTCAGAAGCTTCAGCTAGGAAGGCGGTTTGCTTTTGACCTCCTCTCGGGCTTGTGTTTTCTGCAAAGTCTCCTTTGACTAATCTGTTCACTACCCACATCACCCAAATGCACAACTTACTTCTTCACCTAAGAACAATCACACACACACACACACACACACACACACACACACACACACACACACACACACGGAATTCTGACCAACCAAGGCAGCCGACGGCTAATCCTAAACCAATTAAAAAAACCTAATCCGCAGACCAGATAGGCCAACTGCTCCTAATCTAAGAAAACAGTCCGAATGATCCCGAATACGAAGGCCGGTGAAGGCATCTTCACAAGGGTATTTGCATTTACCAATTCCTAATGATCTGTATTCACTTTCTGATACTGCCTTAAGACTGAGTGATTTAGTCCAGCACAGCAACTGCCCAATGGGCGAAAATCTTGAGAAGCTGCTGTTCCTCATCAGCTTTTCCAGTAACGGATCTACGCCTAACCTCTGGGTCAAAAATGATAGGCGCAAAAGCCATCAGAGGCCGGACTACCACCCCGGGCCTTGCACAGCAGCACGGGGGAGTCGGCGATGTCATGGTGAAAACCCCCTTTTATCAGGTGAGAGGGCATTTGAGGAGGCAGACTTGAAGATGCCTTTAGAGAGCTGGAAAACAGAGTTGGGGAGACAGACCTGGTTCTTTGCCTCGATAATCCGTAAATCTCTCATCCCACATTCCCAGCCACAGAGCCTTAGGGCAAAGTGGGTGGTTCAAGCCTATACTACAGTTCTTGCAGTGAAAATCTTACTAGTGTTTAGTAAAGGCAATTCTAAGTAGCTCTCCACCAGGCGGTAGGATGGAGGGTTTTGAGACTTGACCTTTGATTAGCCCCATACAGTTTTACCTCACCCCCTGCCAAAGCTCCACCTTTGCTTCCTACATCTGTTCTATCCCCAGGTGGGCTGCTGTGGGCCTCTCTTTCGGACCAGCTGCTGCCACTCTAGGTGGCCCTCCCTCACCGAGTCTTCTTGTAGCCGCCTGCTCTACATCCTCCTCCATTTGGGGGCTTCAGCAATTTGCTGCCTCCTGCTGTCCAGGACAGTGGTAGAAGGGGTCTGGGGCAAAGCACATGGGGTAAGTGGGCAGGGGTTGCAAAGTGAGGAAAAGAAACCGGTAACATCTGGATTGGGAACAGGGAGCAAGTGTCAACCTACCAGTGAGAAGAAGCTGGGACCTGTCCAGGCATTGTGGTTTACCCTCCCTTTTCTCACAACCAAATGCCCTGCAGATCCAGATGCCCTCGGTGCTGTGTACCCACCTATTTGGCAGCCTGGACTGTCCAGTGCTCAGTGGCTCTGGGGCTGTGTATCGAGTGTGTGCGGGAACCGCCACTTTCCACCTGCTGCAGGCCCTGCTGCTGGTCGGCCTGCACTCCCCCACCAGCCCTCGCGCACAGCTGCACAACAGGTCTGTGTCGCTGTTTGGATGGGGATGGGACAGAGGGAAGTAGACACGAGCTAGCTAAAGGAAACTCCGGGATGAAGAAAGAGCACTGTAAAAAGGCAGAAAACAAGTTCATAAATCCCTGGGCTCTAAACTGAAAGTAACAATGGCTATATGCAAACCTTCCGGAAAGTGCAGTGTTGCTCATGTGACTTTTGGCATCTGAGTTAGAACTTGGACTACAACGGGACTTGGGGCTCTCATTTCCTGTCTACCTGCCATACCCCCCACCCCCACTTTCTCCCTTTGCCTTTTTCCCTCAATCTGGCTTTCTCTCTACCCCTACAAGCTTCTGGAGCTTCAAGCTGCTGCTCCTGTTAGGTCTCTGTACTGTTGCCTTCTGCATCCCTGATGAGCATCTCTTCCCAGGTAATCTTCATCTTATACCCTGATCAGGGGGGAGTAGGCTAGACTTCCTACTTAATGACAGGAAGCTGGACGGAATGCCACACATCTGTAATCCCAAAACTCGGGGGCCTGGGGCAGGTTTGAGAGTTTAAAACCTGCCTATGCTACACAGGCTCCTAACCAAAAAGGGGGTGGAGGTATGGAGGTAGAGCTAAAGTTCCCAACGGTGTCTATCTTGCAGCCTGGCATTATATTGGCATCTGTGGAGGCTTCACATTCATCCTCCTACAGCTGGTGCTGATCACAGCCTTTGCCCACTCGTGGAACAAGAATTGGTAAGGAGCACCTAACCCTAAAGGCTCCTCCCAAGGAGGCTGACAGGCATGAGGGGATAAATACAGAAAGGCTGGGCAAAGGCCCTATTAGGTGTTGCTCCTATGGCCTCCCAATGAACAGTAACAAAATGCTCAAGAAACCAGATATGATGACATTCACTTGTGATCCCAGCACTGGGAGGTGGAAATAGGAGGGTCAAAAGTTCAAGGCCAGACAGGACATGATCTCACAAAAACACAAGCAGGGTAGGGAGTTCTGAGGCAGCCTCTTGTAAAAAGAAACGAAAACAGGTAATCAAGAATGGTGATGACTGGGCAGTGGTGGTGGCAGCCAAGTGGTGATGGTGCACACCTTTAATCCCAGTACTTGGGAGGCAGAGGCAGGAGGATCTCTAAATTTGAGGCCAACCTGGTCTACAAACAGAGTTCCAGGACAGCCAGGGCTACACACAGAAACCTGTCTCAAAGAAAAAAAAAAAAAAAAGAGGGCTGGAGAGATGGCTCAGAAGTTAAGAGCACTGGCTGCTCTTCCAGAGGACCCAAGTTCAATTCCCAGCAAACATATGGTGGATCACAACCATCTGTAATGAGATCTGGTCCCCTCTTCTCGTCTGCAGGCATACATTTAGACAGAACACTGTATACATAATAAATAAACAAACAAATAAATAAATCTTTTTAAATGATTTAGAAAAAAAGTTTTATTAAAAAAAAAGAATAGTGACAAATACCCATAATCTCAACACTCAGGAGGCTGGGGCAGGACTGCCAAGACCTCCTGCCTTCAGGACCAATATGAAATAGTGAGTTCAAGGACTGTCTGGAGTATACAGAGATGCTATCTCAAAACAAAACAAAAGCTCAAGAATGTACTGTGTGGGCCAATGGGCTGACTAAGCAGTCTGCAGAGAGATGAGGACTGGTCTATAATGGGTTGGAGTTACAAACCCTGATCCACTTCTCTTCAGGCAAACTGGAGCAGCACAAGACTGTAACTGGTTCCTAGCTGTGTTAGTGGCCGCCCTCGGATTCTACATCATGGCAGGTGTGGGAGCCGCGCTACTGTTCCACTACTACACACACCCTGATGGCTGCCTGCTCAACAAGATGTTACTCAGCCTGCACCTTTGCTTCTGCGGCCTCCTCTCGTTCCTCTCCATTGCACCTTGCATCCACCCCAGTGGGTATTTGTGATTTCACACTGCAGATTTTGGGGTGGGCTGTGTCCCTGAGTATTATAGAAAACTTTATTAGCATTCTCAGCCAGTTATCTAAAGAACCTCTGCCGCTTCTCCCCCCACACACCGACACAAGTGCAGGTAGAAACACAAAGTAGAGGAAATTCACTGCCAACTGATGGCCCTGTTCTCTCTAGAGCACCCAGGCTCTGGCCTTCTACAAGCCTCTATCATCAGCTGCTATATCATGTATCTGACCTTCTCTGCACTGTCCAGCCGTCCCCCAGAGACAAGTGAGAACCCAAGTGCTGGAGACCTTTTCAGTTGCTGCTACACAGCCAGCTCTGCTCTTAACTCCTTTCTCGTCTGTTGCCCCTCGGCAGTAACCTTTCAAGGACAGAATCACACCTTGTGCCTGCCTGGCCAGAATAAACTGGAGCCACAAATACCAGACACCTCAGTAGCAGTGTTGAGTGCTGGCATCATGTATGCTTGTGTGCTTTTTGCTTGGTACGTAAAGCTGTCAATGGGAAGTGTGAAAGGGTGCCGAGAACTCAGTGAAGGAGAATGTCCAGGGCTGTGGTTTATTTAAACTGTAGAGCAAGACTAGAACCAGAAAAGCTCCCCACCAACAGGGACAATGTCTAAGAATAGCACGTTATCAGATGATCTGTATGAGATGATGGGGGGCGGGGGAGAACCGTCTTGAGTTTAAAATCCGCAGACTTTATGGGCCTCTGAGAGAACACTACCCCCTGGAAGGATACCACCATGGACTAGTTGGCAGTAAATGCCCCTAATCCTTCTTATTTGGCCCAAAATTAAAAAACTTTCTTTCACAGCAACGAGGCTTCCTACCTGGCTGAGTTATTTGGACCCTTGTGGATCATCAAGGTTTACAATTACGAGTTCCAGGTGAGCATTAAGAGCTCAATAACCCCCCAACACCCCTCCCCCAAACACAGACGCACACATCCTCCCAACCTCTGCCCATAGTGCTCAGCTTCTAGATGCTATCCCTTTATTGAGGACCCACAATGTGCTAGGCACTGTGCTCCATACTTTACACACATCATCTCATTTAATTTAGTCCTCACAACAACCCTGTGAGGTAGGTATTGGCTCCATTTCACAAATGGAGGAATTGAGGCACAAAAGATTAAACATCTTACCAAAGTTTGCATAGCCACTTTTATGCTGGAGCAAGAATTTGAACCCAGGTGTGCCTCCACTTCTTACACCAGCCAATCTTTTCAAAGGGAAAATTTTCTACATTAGTACCCTCACATTGTCTGGAAGCCATTTCAAAACACTGCTTTGCTTTACAGAAGCCCTCACTCTGTTTCTGCTGCCCCCAAACAGTGGAACCAGAGGATGGTGAGTCAAGGGAGCAATCCGGGAAGTGGTTGAACCCTGTAAAGTGCCAAGAGCCCTCGTAAGAGAAGCTGGGGGAGGGAGGTTTCAGCAGCACTGCTTCCCACCAGCACCTCTCTCTAGGACTAAGCAGCAGAGCCAGGCCAGCTGACCAAGAGACCCCTGCAGCCGCTCAGGTGCAGAGCCGGCATCTTTCCTACAGCTATTCTGCCTTCCACTTCGCCTTCTTCCTGGCTTCACTCTATGTCATGGTTACCCTTACCAACTGGTTCAGGTAGGATGAAAGCAGACCTAAGATGCTCTCCCGAAAACCTAGCTGTGTTAAGGAAACAATCTGGCTATAGGGGAAGCAGGGCACTCCAAAAGCTAAGGTGCTGCGGAATCTCTAATCAGCCTTTGCTTTCACAGCTATGAGGGAGCAGAACTGGAGAAGACCTTCACTAAAGGTAGCTGGGCTACCTTCTGGGTCAAAGTTGCCTCCTGCTGGGCCTGTGTACTCCTCTATCTGGGGCTGTTCCTGGCTCCGCTCTGTTGGCTCCCCACGCAGAATCACCACCACCCTGGTGTCTCCAGGCAACAATGTCATCCAGTCAGGAATGACAGGTAAAAACTAGCTCCCCATCTATATTAACAAACTGGGGTACCCTTTAGATCATGCTCCTAATGTTAGCTCCAAGAGTCACTAGCCGAGCTCAGTTCCTCAAGGACAAATGGGTAGTTCCCACCACATAGGCTCAATACTCTACCTAATTATCTAAACTGGAAGAAGTGGCCCAACACCTAGTTTCCTGATTCATCGAAACTAGTGTCTTCATTCAAGCTCAAGAGTCTAACTCAGGAGCTTTAGCTGATCCTAGCAGTGTGGCCCCAGCCCCTTCCTGGCTCCTGAGCTGGAGGTAAGGGGCAGGGAAAGACCAACAGAGACTGAAGATTTCGGTCTGCTCTTGGCAATCAAAAGAAAACAAGTGGTTCAGGCCTGGGCACAGGGATGTAAGAAGCCCAGAACCACAGAACAAACCAAGGCACACAAAGAATGGAGCAGAGGCTGCCACAGGTTTTCATCCTGATCTTGAGGTCAAAGAAAATGGAAGACAAAAAACCACCTTCATTCCACGAGGAATGACAGAACAGAAGAGAATGTGGACACTTGAGAGCAGCTGAACACCGGAAGTCGGTGAACAGGACTTTTTTTTTTTTTTTGGCCAACCTTCAAGCAAACCAAGAATGAGGAAGAGAGACATAAACTTAGGTCTTAGATCCTTCCCCTCTTATGGCCCTCAATACCCATCATGGGGATGGTGTTCAAGGTCTGAGTGGGGCATAAAAAAAATCACAGAAAAGAAGTCTCTATAGTTCTTAGAGGATTCCTCCACCACAGAACTGGAGGGCTTTTCTGGTTGCCATAGTAAAATAAAGGCTGCTTCTGTGATGTTTTCCTTATGAAGTCTACAGATCTCTCTTAGGTGCCTAAAAGAAGTCTCCTCTTTTAGTGGGAAAGGGCAATCACTCCTCCATCCCCATCCCCCCAATCCCCAGTCAAACCAGGCGCTCAAGGAATTACAAAGCTACTTTTAATACTTTGGGGTGTGCCCCCACAGGAATAAAAAACACTGGGAAGAGGTAACCCCCTCACCCCCAGGAGCGGCCCAGGGGGAGAGAGGCTACCTGAGGGGAAGGAAGCACAAAAGGAACCCGCTGCAGACTCAGGGCCAAGGGAATGCCATCGGTGCTGGGGCCTGTGAGCGCTACGGGAGGCAACTCGAGCATGGCGGGGCTGGCTCCAGGCACACAGGCGCAGGGCAAGAGGGCTGGACACGAAGCCACAAAGCTACTTGGGTTCCTCCTTCTTCTCGTTTGCCTTTTTCTGCTTCTGCTGCATGATCTCCGAGTCCCTGGGGGTAGAGATGATGGGGCACTGGGAGGTACCAGAGGGCAAAAAGGACAAGATGCAGGGGGATGAAGGGTACATAGGATAAGATGGAAGTGGGTGGGACAAAGTTCAGCATACGGCTGCTAGATTCCCACCCTAGGAGAACAAGAGGAGTAGAGCTAAGGCTCAAAAGGCAATCGGTCTCCACCTGGATGTTGCCCAAGGGGTCAGAAGTCTGGCCCAAGGCTCTCTATTCTGCACTGAGTACCACACCCAACAACACTAGTGAGAAAGTCGGGAGAAGGGAGGAGATACACGCAGCAAGGAGGGCCAAAAGTACTGGGGCTGTCAAAACAACTGTACTTGATAATGTGAAGCTCCCTGCCCTTGCCCTTAAGGTCACAAGCCGGGCAACTCAGAAATCAGCCTACGGACCGGGACCCGCCCCAGTCCCTTCCTGTATAGCTGTGACTTAACATTTGGAGTGGGGAGGAAATAAAACCCTAGAGGAAGCAATGCACTCTGCCCCTCACACCTAGTCCAGACTCGAGCCCTGAAATACTTCTCTTTCCTGCTACACCCCTCCGTCTAACCCAGGTCTCTCCGTCCCGTCCCGACCCGACCCGTCCCGACCCGACCCGTCCCGTCGTATCCCCTCCCTGGGGCTACCTCTGCTTGCGGGCGGCAGCAGAAAGCCCATCATCTCGGCGCTTTCCCTTAACCGAGTCGCTCTGCTTCTTCATGTTCTTCTGGCGGGCGAGCTCTCGCTGGTTACCGCCTAAGGAGAGAAAGGTACAAAGTGAGGTGCCGGGGCCGCCCCACGCACCCACCAGCGCCCCTCCTCCCCGCGACCGGGACCTGACTATCCCCCACTCCGCGGCGCCGACCCCATCGCCGGGCTTCGGCTGCCGGGGTGTGGCAGCCGCCACAGGGCAGGTTAACTTGGGGTGCGGGAGGACGGTGCGCCCGAAGCCGCTGGTGCGAGTCAAGTTTGGGGTGCCGCGGGGGCCCAGACAGCTGCTACGGCGTGCGGGGCGCCCCGCGGCCTCGGGAGCACGCGCTGGGGCCCACCACCCAGGGCACCCGGCTTCCCCAGCGCGGCGAGCCGCCGGCGGCCCGCGCCCAACACTGGGGGTCTCCGCAAGTGGCGGCGTGCAGAGGGGCTGCGCTTCCGGCTGGGGCGGGAGGCAGCTGGAGAGCGCTCCCTGAAGACGCTTCCGCCGGGGAAGCTGAAGGGGCGCACACGCCGGCGCTCGGCCGTGCCGGGCAGCGAGGGCGGAAAGAAAAGGGCGAGAGGAAAAAAGGGTCCCGGCACTCACGGGTCATGGCGACGGCAGCGGCTCCGACCTGCCTCCGTTGCGTCCCCTCGTTCGGGCCGACGTTGCAGGCCCCGCCCCCTCCGCGCGACGACACCGAGTCGTCCCCTTCGTCCCGCCCCTGCACGCCCGGACGCCGACTCTCATTGGGCGGAGGAAAGCACGTGGAGCGCGGTGCCACGCGCCAGTCCCGGAGGGCGAAGAGCCAAGCTTGGCGGGCGGAGCCGCCGGGCGCGGGGCGGGGCTTCCCGGGAGCGCTGGGTCCCCCGCACGGGAGAAACTAGGCCGGGTCACGTGGGCGGCGGGGTGGGTGGCGGGGTGCGGCTGGCGATGTGGCGCCCCGGCGGTGCCGAGCACGTGACCGGGCACCGTGACCTCATGTGGGACAGTTTAGGGTACTGACAAAGTCGCCCGGGAGGAACGCGGTGGCGGGGTGGGGGGGAGAGGGCGGGATTTCCTAGGTGGTTCATCCGGTTGCGAGCGATCAGTTTTCTGGAGCTAAACTTTGTGCTGTTCCGTAGGACACCCATCCCCCTGCCGCTTGGCCGAACGCTGGCCACAGTCGGACTGAAAACATACACAGATAATTAGAAAACCCCTTTCCGCTTTCATCGTCCCCAACTGCAGCCACTTCCAGTGTGTCTGTCCTAAAGTGATCCTGCAATCATTGCCCAAGAGCTGGAGCCCAGGGTTCCTGCATGCACATCTCCACTACCGAGCCGCACCTCCACACTGTCCACAGAAACTTTGCGGGTGCCTTGGGAGTGGTGAAGCACACCCAAATCCGTGGAGCTACTTGGGGGACTGAGATTAGGGAATGCTCGTATTATGTCTGCACCAACTCTCTAGACTGCCTCTACCTTGTGTCATCTCCCCCCAACAGTTACATCTGGTTTGTAAGAGAAATCAGACGGGTCGCTAAACATCGTTCTCATTTTCAGTTATCTCACAGATGCAGCCTCTGTAGATGAGATTAGTTAAACCTTCTCTCCCGTGGGTCTAAGACAACCTGAGTTCTGCTACGCTATTATGAAACAACCCAACATAGGTCAGAGCAGTAGGATTCATTTCCTGCCGCCCAAACCCAAGGCAACCTTAGTTAAGGCTAAATAACTGCATTCAGAGAGCGCGCGTTAAAAGCAGCGGTTCTCAACCTTTGGGTCGTGACCCTGTTCATAGGCGTCACCTAAGACTATCGGAAAACACAGATATTTACATTACGATTAATAACAGCAGCAAAATTACAATTATGAAGTAGCAACGAAGTAATTTTATGGTTGGGGGGTCACCACAACAAAGGAACTGTGTTAAAGGGTCAAAGCACTAGGAAGGTTGTGAACCGCAGCTCTAAAGTCTATAAAAGTCAAGCATTTCCTTTGTTCTGTGAGTTGCTGTTGGATCCATCCCAGCTTCTCCAATACAGCAGGTGGCCAGCATTTCTAAAGGATATCTTTCCCGAAATCCTCCGACCATTCTAAAAAGAATCTTCTGGTCATGGTCCTCAGGCGAGCGCGGGGAGAAAGGAGGGTTCCAGGGCTGGTTCTCACCAAAGGCGGGGACTTTGTGGTTTTGTCTGCTGTGCTTCAGACCCCAATCTAACTGGCCAATGAGCACCAGGCAATTCTCCTGTCTCCACCTCCTATCTCGATGTAGGAGTGCTCCGATTAAGGTGTGCACCATGACCCGCTGCTTTTTCTGTGGGTTTCGGAGATTGTCTGCTGAGCTGTCTTCCCAGTCCAGAATTCACTTATTTATTTATTGTTTTTTGTTTGTTTGGTTGCTTGGTTGCTTGGTTTGGTTTGGTTAGTTTTTTCGAGACAGGGTCTCTCTGTGTAGCTTTGGAGCCTGTCCTGGAACTCAAGCTGGCCTCAAACTCACAGATAACTGCCTGCCTCTGCCTCCCAAGGGCCAGGACTAAAGGTATGTGCCTGGCCCAGAATTTTTATTTTTTCTAAACAAGTTCCATGTATCTTTTGTTCCCAAAGCTCCCCTCCAGGCCAGAAGAGAGTCACTGAATAAAGGAGACATGGCAGGAGACAATACGTGCTGGGTTAAAGCATTAGCTCTGCAAGCCTGATGACGGAACCGGATCCAGGGAGCCCTCATAAAAAAGGCAGGTGTGGTGGTATGCAGCTGTAACCCTACCACTCCGACAGTGAGATGGGAGATGCAGACAGAATTTCCTGAAAGTTCATGGGCCAGTTAGCCTGGAATACAAAATATGGCAACAGAAACAATGAGCAAGACCCTGCCTCAGTAAGATAAAAGGCTAAAAGTTGCCCCCCCCCCACATACACACAGTGGTCAGGGAAATTAATTAAAAATAAATGGTGGGGGTTGGAGATTTAGCTCAGTGGTAAAGCGCTTGCACCCTGGGTTCGGTCCTCAGCTCCGGAAATAAATAAATAAATAAATAAATAAATAAATAAATAAATAAATAAATAAATAGTGATAAATTTTGATGTGAATCTCAACTAATGCCTATTCCAGAATCAAGTTGAGGCTAAGACGTCAAACTGGCTTTGTGTAGAGCACATGGGAAGCAAGAAAACCTCATCACTACCATCTTCAAGTTTTTTTATATCCAGCCCCACTTGAACTACTGTTAATAGATTTTTTTTCAAAAATATAAATTATGTGTATGTGTATCTGAATGTGGGTTTGTGCACAATAGTGCAGTCTCCATGGAGTCTAAAGAGTGTGTCAAGATACCCTGGAGCCAGAGCTACAGGTGGCTGTGAAACATCCAATGTGAGTGCTAGGAACTAAACTTGGTCCTCTGAAATAACCACACTGAGTCACCTCTAAAGCCCCTACTATCTATATATATAAATATATATATATAATATATATGTTTTTTTTTTTTTTTGGTTTTTCGAGACAGGGTTTCTCTGTGTAGTTTTGGTGCCTGTCCTGGAGCTCACTCTGTAGACCAGGCTGGCCTCGAACTCACAGAGATCTGCCTGCCTCTGCCTCCTGAGAGCTGGGATTAAAGGTGTGTGCCACCACCAGCTTTGCTTTTTTTGTTTGTTGTTATTGTTTTGCAGTAG